CTCCAAAATAGAGTTATGATATAATTTAAACCATGACCAATAACATAATACCATCATACCATCATACCAACATCACCATCATCATCATCATCATCATTATTATCATCATCATCATCATCATCATCATCATCATCATCATCAGTATCATCATTATCATCATCATCATTATCATCGTCATCGTCATCATCATCATCACTATCATCATCATCATCATCATCATCATCATCACCATCATCATTATGAGAGTGGCAGGGGAGGCGCAAAGGGGTGTGAGCAGGGCCCTCGTATGGGAGAGTTACCTCCCTAACCCCCCACACAAAACCACAATTCGTCGGCCGGTCGGATCGGCCGACTACATATATCGATTAAATGAAATCGATTAAAAAAAACCCTTTAAAACCCTAAATTGTCATATTTTTCGAGAGATTCGTCCCCGGACGGACCACTTTCGAAAGATTTTGAGCGACGCCCGACCGTGCCCATTTTGCTCTCGTCGGGGACCTCGGACCATCCAATGTTGGATGAAGCTCTCCTTAAGCAGTTTTCACTTCCTGCTTTTTGAAAATGTTTGTACACTTTGTAAAAACTTCATTTTTATGCATTTACAGGGAAAATGCATCATGCAGGCATGTACTTCATTCATTCGGCGCATGCATTATTGTTTTTAAACATTGCCCATAGTCTTCAATCGACATACACACGTAAAATATGAGTCTTCAGATTTGGAAACTTGGTCTCGCCACCTTAATGATAAACCAACTACGGCTCATTCTATTAAACCTGTACGCATTCAGTGGCGGATCCAGGAATTCTAAACAGTGGGCCCTGGAGGGAATTCACAGAGTCTAGACCACCTCAGCCCCACCATGGCTGGGGCTGGTAAAACAATTATGATTATGGCACCTCTACTATACTTTTTCTCAATTTTTTTTTTCAATTATTATTTTTCGTCCCTCCTCCCCAACCCTTGAATTTACCACTGGCGTTAACCGTCAAACATTGTATCTCACCTATTTGTTAGTGGTCCAACAAAGGGATTAGTAATGAGCTGAGCGATAGCTTTAGATGCAAATAACACACCGATGTAAACACTTTCTTTTTGAACTGTATTTTCAATTATATCCGGAACTTCAGTTTCCGCCGGAGTAAAGTTGCTGGGAATTATACTATAGTTTTCATACTTTGCATAAACATTTGTTGGCTTTGATTCACGCTGTGCATCTTCAGCCTGTTGCTCGTATAAGAAATCCGGAATTATTGGAACTGTAAGAAATATGAATATAATAATATCGGGATAATTAAATAATAATGACAATAACAATTACAATGAATATTAAGAATTATTTTCTATTTAATGTACTATTTTGTTAGGCCTTTTTTCTCAATGCAGTTCTGCACACTGCCATGAAAAATATTTATTGAATAAAGATACCTTGATATATAAAGATACCTTTTTAAAGCCCAGCTTAGAAAAGTTAAACACGGTGGCACGCCAGGCCTTGTTACTATAGGCTTGAGATAAGCCACCTAGTTCAGACTGGCATGTGGATAAACCCGGTGAGTTGAGCCGGGTTTATCCACCTAGTCTGAACTAGGCCATAGGCTACGTTCAGACTTGGAGATAAGCCAGGCTTGAGTTAAGCCCGGCTCACGTTAAGCCCGGCTTAACTTTGCCGGGCGTTCAGACTAGCGGGTTTAGCAGGCAAGAATTTGCGTAATAAAGAACCGTAACCAGGAAACGTGTTTAAAAAAAAAAAAAACATTGCTCGCGAAACGTACCTCGCTCACAGCATACGTAATTGAATGCTGATTGGTCATTTCGTCACCCGAAGTCAATGCAAAACCCCCCGCCATTATTAAAGCCCGGCTTAGAAAAGTTAAACACAGTGGCGCGCCAGGCCTAGTTACTATAGGAACATAGCCCGGCTTGAGATAAGCCACCTAGTTCAGACTGGCAGTTGGATAAACCCGGTAATTTTAGCCGGGTTTATCCACCTAGTCTGAACTAGGCCATGCTATTTTGAGTCGCGAGCGTGGTGGTATGCATGACGAGGAATTACTGGTATCTTAAAGACAATGTTCTGAAACAATTAACGGTCATCATGTTTATCACTGGCCTTTTGTTTTCTCAACGAATAATATAAGTCGTGAGAGAAACATTGTTGGTTTATTTATCTTTTGAATGGCGTGCTTTAGAAAAAAAATCCCATACGTCACAGCGCGGCGGATGTGATGCATTTAATACATTTTATTGAAATATCGAGAATATCCTTTATTACGCAACTAAATTAATCTCCATCAATATGGTGAGAAGGTTTTTTCTTTTTGAGATTTGTCAGCAAAGAGAGTTGGCAACTATAACAATTTGATGGAGAGAAACAAGGGAAGTTGAAGAGTTACGGAACATTTCTTTCTTGATAATTAATATTTCTTCATCGTTGAAGAAGTCCTGAGAATAGGACAAAATATATTTGTGCCTATATTTCCTAACACCGTTGTTCATTTTATAATTTCACTCTCTCTTATATACACAGGTATAGGTATTTCTTTTGAAATAAACCAGTGTTTTATAATCCACATGACTCATTGCTTCAATTCCTTGTTTCAATGCCTTTTATATAATTTCAAGAACACACGTGGATCTATGACGATATATATATACTGTCTCTTATACAAATGTGATCGTTACAATATTTTATAGACATGTTTCAAAACAGGTCAAACATGCTACTGATTGTTTACCGTATTGTCGGTCAAACTCGTCTTTTCTAAAAACAAATGTTATCAAATTTTTATGTTTACAAAGTAATAGTCCTATACTGTAACATCACATAAAAAAGAAAAGAATACAGTAATATTTATTATTTTATTATTATTATTATTATTATTATTATTATCTAAGTTAGGAATCTTTAAAATGACATCAAACCACTAAACATAGGGCCTACATATTAAAACTATAAACAGATCAGAGATAGTTTAATAAGTTTTATAGTGAAAAATATAATAAGAAATCTTACCAACAACGGTGACAAGTATATTGTCAAGGAGAAGCGCCATAAACACGATGAACAACAGAAACGTCCTCGATTGACGCAAACTATTAATTTTTCCCAACAAGTTAAATCCGATGTTGAGCTCTGACATCACGTACAATTTCTTCCTTTTAAAAATCCAAAATGCATATATCTTCCGAACGCTACCTACACAGACAAAGAAACATACTGTTTACTATTTACTTTGTTAATCATTATTTGGGTTGAGTTGTTGCAATGTCAGACTGAATCAAAATTTCCAGTGATTTTCAGTCTTTGTACATGTGAAAATGAGTCACTTGTTAACAAATATGACAATTAGTTAACCTATTAATATGTACAAGTAAATCATATACTGTAATACGATTATTTGCTATTTGAATTAAGTTTCTAGGATTAGATTTGGAGTAGCATCATTTTAAATTTGAGATAGGTCTCTATGATAACACAGGAGAAATTCACTTCTATATAAAGTTTCCTGTTGACGCACATTCTGTTTAGGCTGTTTTTCAGAATCAATAAAAAGAGGAAAATCAGTAGGTGTTTTGTAAGGCAATTTTCTCAAGATATAGGACTACCTGAATATTAAAAAGATCATACTCATGATCTAGTCAACCTAGGGATTTAATTATAACAAAATATAGCTTAGATTAGCAACAAAATAAAAAGAAAAATATGAAAAACCCTAAAACTTAATTTGTTAAAATAGGACAAATTGAAATGCGTACCACGAACCATTTTGTCAAAACATCTCGCTCGTTTTATGAAAACTGCTGTAAATAATTTAAGTGTAAAATAAAACTATACAAATCACAAAGAAACAACTCAAAGTATTAGAACCATATTTCCATTTTAAAAACTGAAAAATTGCGAAGCTAAAATCTTGAAAAACATTTAAATACAGTAGGACTTTGTACGCAAAAATTAAAATTGAAGCTGTTTGTTTAATTAACATTCCAAGATACAGTATGCACGTAATATGTCTATATGTTGAACTTAATACTAAACAGAAAACAGAAAAAGAGCTCGAATTTGAAACATACAATATTAGACAACATGTATTTTGCAGCCTACCAAAGACAAACGTCTTCCCGTAATAAATTAAGTCGGTCTTCCCTCGTCAGTTAGCAATCATATTGTAACGCAAGCAGAGCAAACTAATGACTTCTTCAACGCACCAATTTTAATTACTGTGATGTCAATGATTGCCCCAGCCAATGACGTGTCCACGATCAATAACAGTGTCAGAATGTACTGATTCTGAAACAAAGTCATTCACTAAGCTGTCAAAAACATACCCAACTCGAGGTTGTAGGCCTACGTACTAAGAATCATGTTTTTTGTTCAAAGACGTTAATTAAAAACCTCGTGCTGTTGCTTATGTGTTACGATATGGAGGAGTCGCTTGATGTGAAGTTGTCAGTTACACTATAAAGATGTATATCATATCTTCATTGACACCTAAGTTTTTTCGCTTAGGCCCTATACAACATGCAAGAACAAGAACAAGAATGATATTGTTAGGTGCGACCAACCATTTACAGAATAAAGATTTTATATTTTTTACATTTTTAACAGGATTAGGCCTAGTTGTGAACACTGTTTTAAAGTTTCAAAATTTTGTGAATAAATGTCTACTTTTATCATTGCACTTTAAAAATGTACGAAACATAAAGAGGGAGGCGACCTGTTGTTTAAAGGAAACATCTAAACCGATAGCGAATTCTGAGTTTATACAAAGGTAATTTAAATTTACAGTTATATTTTGAACTCTTCTGACGTCATTCATCCAAGCCGTACAATTAACCTATCAAAACAGACTTGAATCGTTTTATTTCAGATTATTTACGTAGTAGATTGCTTGCCAGTGTTCAGATATACCACTTTTATTTAGTGGAAAGGTAGGCCTAATCTATAATCCAAAATGCCAATAGATACGAAGATTATAATTGCTTGCACGATCTAGGCAAATATTGAAAGTCGCTTCGATTTTGATTACTCCCATTGAACGTAAATTGCAGACAATAATGATTTAATCACCAGTTTGATACGAGGTCTTATTCGCAATATTATTTTTATTTTCAATCTTTTACGCAACAAATATATTATAATATAATTATTTGATAACATGTTTAACCAAGATTATTTAATCAGGTAACAATGTACATGTTTTGTATTGGGGTCCGTGAATATATTGTATTTTGATTTGTACAGTATAATAGTAACAATAATTATAATCAATTTCTAATATAATAATGATAAAATATATTAGATTCAAAGTATTATTAATAATACAGTAGTATTAGAAATATTTCTAATGGAATTGGTATAGTAACCATAATAATATAATAATAACATATAAAATTGTAATAGCTCAGTTTTTCATTAATAATGTTTAATAATGATAATAATCACGTACATGAAATACACGTAAATAAATAAATTATATAAATAGCTTACGTTGTATAGTTTATTAAAGTACTATTGTGGTTAATATGAAGGTAAAAATATTGTCCTTATCAATCACGGGCATTTAAATAACATTATTTTTTACATATAAGATGCCTACCGCATGTATATCTGCCACAAAATCTAAATTTAAGCAGCTTTGTGGTAAATGTCTGAAAATCATTGATACTGATATTTGTGTCTGGTTAGTGTCTGTAATAACTTTGTAATTGATCCAAATGAAAAATTAAATAAGTTAACTAAATTGTTATTTTTTTAATTTTTTGGTAACTATGATAGTAATGATAATTGTCATCATTTTAAAAATAAGAAAGTAACAAATAATTATGATTGATAAATCAATCATAATGCTAAAAATATATGTTTTGTATATTGAATCTGTGCTTTAAACAACGTACCAGACATATGGTCATGGTAAATTGATCTTGTAGTTGAGCAAGGAATAATGTAATTACAGGAATTAAGGTAGTTTTAATTAAATGGATTGTGATTTCAGGAACAAAAGGATAAGATTACGTTTACGTTACGCCTCGTAATGTAAGAACATCACATGACAGAGAAGCTTCAATCTGTTGCGCGGCGCTTAAGAGGCGGAATGATTTGTCTTTCTTCTTTAGTAATTCATTTCTTCCTGCTCAAGCTCAATGCATCTATTTATGCTATTTCTTACGGATCGTTTTCGATTATCTGTTAAACATATATGTACGTTGTTTTCATTCAAAAAATGGCAAAAGGAATGATTTTAAAAGAAACGTTTTACAGTATGGCAATTACTATATGAATTTGATGGCTTACACGCGAAGGTCAAAAATATTCATAGAAATATAATTGGTTCTCATTTGCTCAGATTGCATTGGAGTAGTTTAGCCTAATTGAACTCTCAGTGTGAATGTTATGATAACATTAAACTTATGTATTTAAATAAATATTGTCCATATTAATATGCACACAATGTCTATCAATAAACATGTGATACACGTACTATAAGTACAGTAATAACAGTAACAATAATAGTAGATACGCACAACTAACTTGAAACAGATAAAGAAAACAGCATTTGAAAGGAAAATCTAATATACTTATTGTGACAAATAGTATTGGCGGCCATTTGGGATTTGAAGTCATGTTTGATGTCTGAGTTATCAACCCGTTTTTTTTTATCATAGTCTTTCTAAAAATCATTTAATTTAATATGAAAACTTAATTGAACTGAGGTGCATTTTACTAATCCATGTCTCTACATGAGGCTGTTTTCTAATGAAACAAAGGCTAAGCATCCGCATGCTCCATAGAATATTATTGTAATGTGTCTGGAATTGATGAAGCTATGAAGGTATATTGTATTGTAGATGATTTTATATAGACAAAGTATATTTTAGAGCAATAAAATAGTAGGCTAGAAAGCGATACCCTACCATGGAAGATTGTATTCACTAATCTTACAATGACTTCACAGTGGTGGGTGGGCGCCAGTGAGGATTGTGTGCAGGTAATATCCACCAGTAGGGAGCGGTATTACAGCATCTAATACTACTTTGTCTGTCAGATTTCTACAATACTAATAAAAATAACACCTTTATTAAAGGTATATCACAGAATTCAAACATACGTCTGGACTACTCTTCCAATTTTTAGACGGTCGATTCGTATCTCCAACTTACAAATACTACCCGTTTAAGAGCAGCAGTGAATGTATGGGTGTAGATCACGCAAGATATATAAGAGACACAGTTTCCGCAAAGGAGGTGCTGCGACGCAAGTAGCAAACGAAGGGATGCCAGAAAACGCCACACGAAAATGGGACGGCGGCACGCAAATCCCTCGCGCCGCCGATATAGGCCTACGATATAGGCCTATCTTTATATATATGAGCAATTTCACAGTGAATGGACACGCCCCAAGCAATTTTTTTAGCAAGGTATAACTAAAGATTTTATTGTTTAAAATGAAATATTTTTACATTTATATTATCATATAAATGAGCATACATATTAAAAATCATTTCATGATCATACAATTCACAGTAAAAAAAAAACAATGATAAATTGACATACTTTTTAGCCATATTTCACCATACAAAAGTGTGACAAGACAAAAATGTCTAAAATTGGATGTAGTATATTTTTTTAATTGTATTACAAGGAAGGAGCTCATTATTTCTATATGATATATATTGGAAGCTAATAAAATAAAACACTAGAAAGAAAAATAAAATCCTTTTTTATTTAAAAAAATATGTAATTTGATGGCTTTTTTAACGGGCCGTGTAACATTTGTATGTCAAAAAAAGTTCAAAGTGGCCCAACATTCCTAAAAAAAATGTGTGTTATTTTAAAATGTTTATCAAATTGGTGAATATATATAGGGCCTCACAAGAAAATATTTTTAAAAATTGGTAATGAGGCATATTTGTTTTGGAAAGACAATTTAATTATCTTATCACACCCTCATTCCAAAACATTGATATATCTTTTGTTCCACAGAGTTTAGCCTAAATCCTCTTTACTCTATTTTTCCATGAAAATGTAACGATACCGTGCCATTTACTGTGAAATTACTCATATATATATATGTATATATATATATATATATAAACAAATAGATAAATAATAATAATATATCGCATTCAGCTAGTACATTGACAGCTTTCTTGCAAAAAAATGTAGTAGTTTTTTTCGGCGACTGCGTCCGTGTGGCAGCCAAGTTTTCTTTATGTTACATTTCATATCTTTCTAATATCCTCACAAATAGGCTTGAAGCATACAATTGCTTCAAGTCTTCTCATTCTTTGTTCGGTGTAATGAATTTGAACTAATTTCAATGTCCAGAATCCAGAATAGCTCATATTCGCACATGTGTCAGCCTCGGTATTAATTCCAAACTGGCCAGACAGGACTCATCCAATATAACTTCCTTAAAAATAATTTGTTGAATATCTGGTTTTTTTTTTCAATTTACAACGATATCAGACTTCTATTATTAGACTATTATTCTTAATATTGGTTGATTAAGAAAATATATTTCAGCCATACGAATTACTAACTAAGTGTTTTCAACATAGAGGAACAGAGGTTAAAACTATTTTTTCTATTTATTAAGATGACTTACTTGCGTCATATTTTTGGTGAACAAACACTTATATAGGGTTTCCGCAATACAAAATTAGCATGTTTTGCGACTAAGTGTTTTTACATAGGCCTGAACTGTTCTTTTGTGACTACTGTGCATTGATATTGACCATCGCTGTTTCATACCTGTTGAGAATGTACACTGAAATTGCCATCAAGTACGGCGACAGCGTGTGCCAAAGTCCGCGAGTGTAATAGTTAAGCTTGATTCTCACATTATTAGCGCAATTTAAGACGCCAACCACTCTCCGAGTCTTGCGTTTTTGTGTCAAGCCACTTGCGGTTGCGTTTAATACGTGCTATGTGAACCAAGTTTCAGCAGTTGAATAAAACGATTTTAACATTTTTTATGCAGAAATTTTCTCTTCAGTAAATACCAATGGCATAGGCCTATGTCTGAACGCTTTAAAATTGAAAAATGAAGTAAGGTGAAAACTGGTGGCAAAGTGGTAAATTACACCAAATGAGTAAAATCAAAAATCATATTCGTTAATAATGTATTTATTTCCAAGGCAAATTTTGATGTATATAAAAGAAAATAATTACAAGATTAAGATTGTTTATAAATACGTAGACTAAATATATCATTTTATAACAATGGAAATAAAATATCCGACTGAAGTTTTCACTGGTATTTAATAGGCCTATACCTACTTTTTATGATTTTAATATGTTGTTTTGGGTAATTAATAAATTTAGAAAAATAATATTCAGAAAAAAAAATGTTAATTTAAAGTGTTTGCATACTAAAGAGAAGAAAGAGAAGAAGAAGGGAAGTAAGAAAACAAAATGTTTTTTAAAGTAATGACTAATAACAACATTTCTTTTTTATTGCTTTTTATGTATGCCTCTTGTACGTTATGTTTTTGTGTTATTATTGGAAAAAAGCAAAAAAAAAAAAGTCTCAGCAACGTAGGCCTGGCTCAAGTGCTACGCGTTACTATTATGTCAACACACTGGCATTTATAAATTGGGTTCTACTGTACCTTCGAGTGAGCTAGCTGTGCATACTTCATTTTAATATCCTACCTATTAACTTAATGTCAAAATCAGATGACTTATCTTCTTCAATTTCCAACCTCAACTATCACAGAATAATAATTTTTCTAATAAACCATCGACCTTTCGCATAGTTTAATCCTGCTTCCGCATACCCTTTCGAAAGGCATCGCGAAACTCAACAACAAATGTCCCAAAATAGTCGGATCATATTGGTTTTCCTCAATATTAAAGCTCAAAACCATCTTCATTTCACCTACATATCTCTTTACGCATAAAAAGAGCTCTGCATTTGTGTGCAGTGACTTGAACTTGGTAAATATTGAGAAACATGAGAAGGCTCAGCGCATATTTACTGAAAAGATTGGTTTTCGCCTACAAACTGTAAACACGCAAAAACATCATAAATCAAGTTTTCATATTATATTGAACATAACAAAAAATGAATCTATATTAAATACATTTACAGTTTTTGCATTAATTGTTTTAATCATCACATTTTCATCTACCTGATTAGGTCTAGGGCCCTAACATAATTTTCCATGCCAAATTTTGTTAGGCCCTCTTCACGTCCAAAGGCATACAAATATGGACAAACACAGGATTATAAGTGGGTTTTAGATCTTAACTTGAAAACAGATGGATTTGACTTGTAGACGGAATTTTAATATTGTAATACAATTCCACAATGACCACCTCCGTCTGTGATTATAGCTCATCTATGACCAGAAATGGAACCGTCAGATATAAATTTAATTATATTTTTTCATTTTTTCTCCATTTAAAAAAATATTTTGAAAAATAAATTGTTGGGTTGGGGGAGAGGGTGGCTCTGTATTAATGTTGGTGATGATACTCCAATCGATAAGGTCGCAGACCTTCAGTTACGGGTCTTATATTGGCTGAAAGTAACAGTCATAACGACGTCTCTACCAGTGATTCATATACTTATAACATTAGGACGACAATGACAGAACCTAACCCATATAAACATGTATAAATAAGCCAAAAATAGACGCACTGTTTGTAACATTTAGATATGTTATCAACGTATCTTCATCAGACAAACAAATGACGATCAGTAAATAACGGTTTGAAACGTTACAAACAGTACGTATATTAATGGTTTACTTACAAGAAGTTTCTATGTTCATACAACAAGAAACCAGATGAAACTCCATAAAAAATAACATAGGTTATGAATACATCTCTTCAACCCATTGCTATAATGACTATAGGCCGTATCCAACATTTTACGCAGCTTTCATGACACGTCACCGTAGTATATTATCTTTCAAGTTAATAACCTCTTTAACATCCTACCTCGTAGCAAAGAAATTAATAATATATCGGCGTTCATCTATGAACGGTCGTAAGGGAGCCACTGGATGTCCACATGATTGATGTCCACTGGTCACGATACCAACAAAACACAAAATACATAGGATTCGGTGCATGATATTATAATTTGAACAGGCGTGGCACCATATTTTACATCATATTAACTATCGTAATAGATCTATAGGCCTATATGTATATAGATAATACCTAACTATAATTTTTCTTAATGGATTGTCCTTTTTTTGTTGTTCATCGGAGGGAGCTTCCACCTGTGTCCCGGATTCAATAAGTTGACTGGTTGGTAAAGATACTTGAGTATTCGTGACCTGGCATGAATAGATATAAATCAAGCCACTTGAATGTCTAATTGCTTCATAGACCAGATAATATTAGTATTACTTAATTGTTAAGTAAGGCAAGACTGTATTGGCCATTGAGAATAATTATGGTGTGGATGGATTTATTCGGTGTAAACACCAAGGATAACTCACGACACTCAAGACTTATTTTCAGTGCGGTCCTTCTGAAGGTGTTTGGGAGGTACACTGAGAGACAATCCCATACTCTTTTCCGAAGAGTGTAAACTGCGTTCAGTAACGTGCACATGCGTCATGCACACACGACCAACGACTTAACCGTCTCATCCGATAGACCGTGCGCTATCTTAATTTGTAGTTTAGCCCTTCAGCTGAAATACAAGGAGAGCAGCGATGGAAATTGAACCGGGGACCAATAGATTTCCACGGTTCAGCACACACACAGTGGTGGCTACCGACTGAGCTAAAAAATAGGCCTATGTTAATTCTAATGTTTGTATGATAATGGTTTGTTACTTATACGTTAAAAAGATTACTCTTTTTAACGTTGAAAAAATGTATTTATATATATTTACAGTATTACCTCAAGACTATTAAGAGT